CAATCAGGCAAATGCATTAGTAAGCTCAAACACAGGCCTATCTCACCTCCTGAACTTTGCAAAGGGAAAAACGTGAAAGAGGAACGGTAGGTGAAAGGAGCAGAATACTTCCTAGTTCCTTGTCAAGCAAAGCTACTCAAGGAGATGAGTCGGGATGTTTTTGTTGTGGCACTCACAGTCGGTCTTTCAAGGTAAACATCGCAGAAACAGAGTTTTTTTCAGACGTAAACAACGTAATGGGTAAGAATTGCTTTGATGGTATCGGCTGGGAATTCGAGTTGACGAAGCTGAGGCATTGTAGGCTTCGTCAACTCGAAAAGCAAGTAATTGCAGTTTGAGGCAAATGAAGGGCAGTACGGAAACGGTAGCGGTTTTTCTTATGGGCAAAAAGCTTAAATCCAATTAGAAAACGTCAAGTTCGTTATAGGAAGTAACTTAATGAGATGAACAATTTTTTCAAGCGAGACGAAAGGGCAGCAATTCTAGATGATACATAAATGCCACAGGATAGTGGAAAAGCTTGAGGAACTGATGAAAACTTTCGGGACACGCCGCATACTTCCTGGTGACTCAAAGTGGTAAAGAAATCTGAAGGCTACTGTAACCGATGCGGCCTCCTGAAGAGGTCTGCCAACGTTATTATCGGTAGATTGTCTTCTATTCTTTATTGTTAACTGTTTATATTATCCAAGGATCGCTCTCCAGAATCAGGATCATGGGCGTTCCACAAGTTTGACGTAGTTGGATAGTGTAGCGATAGGTGGCGCTGATTCATCAGTTACAACCCAGTTATGGAAGCGCAATGGNTGGCTGATTGGCGAAATCGCTTTTCCTATCTGGTCATTTCGGACAAAAGCGACCCTGCAAAAGTGCAGTTCAGAATTTGGGAGGACCTCCCCGATAGCACATCGGAAAGTCTATACACTTTACCTAGAGTGCATCACACCTGGTGCTTTTCGGTTTGCTAAAATCTCAAAAGTATGGGTTATTAAGTTACCTAATCTGCTTCGAATAGTGTTACTACTTGCAACTGGAAATTTCTGTAGGATGGACTGCCTTACCCATGTAATATCACTTGGGTTTGGCACGACCATGTTTTGAAATGAACGATGACTCTTCTTATCAGTTGAAAACCTTTCTGTAGCGCATAAAACTTAATATCACCTGAAGGATATACCTGTTGGCAACCCTAAGTTGGTACGAGAATGACGCGAAGTATATCAGAAGATTCTAGAACCATGCATGATGGAATAAGAAGGGGAGGAGTCTGTTGGACCGCTGTGACCATGGTTCCAGCCTGGATGTCATACAAATCTCGGGAGCTGTCTATGACAGCCATGGGATCACTGAACCTCCAGCAGAAATGCCCGCTGGAGGTTTCGGATCCCACGGTTCTCCTTCGACGGACATTTTTCAGTATTTCAACGACGAACATCCAGTGCAACTACAAACTGCACGGACAACCGAAGTATATACTGCCTAGACTCTGAGGTTGTAAAATATTTGGAGAGCTATAATGAAAAGTATTTTCACAGCAGTAACTGGAGCAAGAATTCATTTCCGGACTCTGGTAATCCCGTAAAGAAGTGAAATGCAATGAACGCTAGATTCCCCAGATGAAACACCACTTCACAGAAGAACCTTATTGTAAAAGATTGTCCCAACCCCTCCACATGCACGTCGCGTTTTAAGAAGGCTTTGGGTGGAAGAAGTAGGGATTGTGTATCACTGCTGCGTTAAATCACGACCGATCGCTCGAGATAGGTTGGACTAAGGTTTAATTACTAAATTTCTCCTATTGAAGTTGCCTCAAGCTCATTTAGGATTCCTTGAGAACTTACTTTACTTGCATGTATAAAACCTTAGGACGCCTTAAATCATGAAATACGCCCGATTTCAAGGAAAGAATTGAGTAGCAGATTGAAATATTTATTACATATTGTACGCATTTCATCAGGTATTACATTATACTATCTGTAAATGAATAAATAAACAAATAAATAACTTCAATATCTGTATATTTTTGAACAATGCATCAGAATATTCGGAAGAGACCATATTACCATGTGAGACGTTGAAAAGCTTGATAAGCCGATTGATTACTTCGTTTTCAGTTACTCTGCAAATCATTTTTTATAAAATCACTGAAACTACAATTAGTGGTGAACTGCACATCGTAAATCTGAATTATGTGGAACAGACCAGCGCAATATGTGGCCCATTTGAGGAGCAGTATGATGTTTGGTTAGAAGAGAATCAGTTTCTTATGAAATTTGGGTGACCGTTCGCACGTTCACACTCATACCAGTACATTCACTCATACATTCTGGAAGCGCTTCGGGGTCAACTGGTAATAAAGTAGTTCTGAATTCGTTCCAGAGTAAGTACAAATCTATTTATTTTCCTCTCCATCAACTGGAAAGGTCTAGCTGTGAGGAAGCCGCCTGCACTTATTGGGAAGTCCTCCCCCCTGGCCCGATTCTACCTCTCGCGCGAAGAGTTATTGGATAACTTTCCAACAGTTCTGATCCGTGTCTCTTCTTTAGAAATGCTTTTGGGTAGGAATCGGTTCCGACCTCTACCTCAATAATTCTCGGTATTTACCCCTGTCAGATGCAAAACTTACCTCTTCATCAGTTTTGGAAGAACGTTCACTTCGGAAGAATCGAAGAGGATTGATAACTGGATGTTGAAACTGAAATGGAGTAATGAAAAAGTCTAATTTGCAGAATTGTGGAACGAGGGATTTGAAATTCACCTTTTTCATTCGACTATTTTGTTGTTTTATGAACGTGTTCACCACTCGGCCCATTTGCTCGGCAAGATCGGCCATAAACGGCTCCATAGCTCCTACAGATGAATCCTGTTTCAGTACTGGAGAAGTGTTTACAAAAGGAACCATTTTCAGAGACGTACCTGAGAGCTTCTGCCATAGACTTCGCCAATCTCTCTCGATTCCGGAATCAAACAGTGTCTGCTTTGTCTGAATAATAAAATCTATCATCTTGAAAGCTACTCCTTCAGCACAATAAACCTGGCACATCTGTTTGTAATATTTAGTTGCCATCTAGAGCCCTTCAAAGTCTGCATATAAGCTTTAGAAAGCTACATTTTTGAGAAATCAATCTCTTCAGAGCCTAGCGAAATCGCAGCAAACTGTTACATTGCGATCAAACATCCCCCTGCCCCGCTTAAGTACGAGACCTCCAGGGCTTGAATGTTACCTGTTCGCTCTGTACGTACCAACCACTGAAATGTTACCATTTGACAACAATTCCATTTAACTAACGTTCTGCCAGTTGTCGCTGATATGTGACCATATTTCTTTGTAAGGTGAGCTTGAGCTTGTCGTCGGAGATGGAGTAGACTGTAGATCGGCCTGCACCATTCTCTAAAAATTAATAAATAAAGGACTAGAATAAAATGATAAGGCTAGACAACTGAATAAATAATTAAGTGGGGAACTCAATTACTGGGATCCTATTTTAAAGCACAGCAAATGTCACAAGGTGACGGCAACGACCTTTTCAGGCTTGGTTTACTTTGTATTGTTTATGAGCAACATTTCACGGGATTATGATGTAACTAAGGTGGAGGGGGCTCGCTCTGTGATTCTGTAATGACCCTTAGAGCAGGGCGGTTATTCACTGGATAGACCTGGAGGATAGATGATGGGGACGAGTGGGACGGGCTCGGTGTCAGCATAAGCGAATTCATGATCAACGGGCGAGATGGATACAATACAGTGGTTCAGCCCAGTACAGTACTTTAGATCACAGAGGAGGACCCTCTTGGACGATGTATATATGACATACATATGGTTCCCAGTTCTGCCCAATCTATTATGGTTCCTGCCCCGACAACTGAACAGACACCAATAGGTAGTACACTACGATCGCCGTTCTTCCTCAAAATTCTTCTAGTTGAAAACCTTCATAATGGATCTTTCTTGGATTTTTCTACCTTGGGGTTTTAATGCAGTAACATAATGAGAACGTTTGTGAAAAGCACAACGCTTTTTTCAGGAGCTCTGGAGCAGCAGGTAGGGCAGGTGACTTCCTTTGAGCCTACAAACCCTTTCCTTGTT